CAACACCTAAATCAAAACTAAACAGCAAAGATGGAGTTTCCTGTCAAACAATCCTCCTACTCTCCAATCGGTCAAAGCAGACGCCTCCATTCAGCCACGTCTCCCCCGCTCATCAGCACCTGCTCTGATTTGTATACATTAAGTAGACATCACAAAAAAGGGCGGTGTGGCAGTGACAGCTTCACCAGAGAAACGCTTGAACATGGCTTATTTCCCAGGGGAACTAAATAGCTTCACGTTGAGGAGCTACGTTATCAGTGAGGTGGTATGTCATCTCTACATTGGTGAGATCACTGAGAGCCCACCGCCCACAACTTTCATTACATCTGCTCAAAAGCGTAGGCAACAACCAGTTCTTAAAAAGAGGAGAGAGAATCCACTCACAGAACGCTCCATTTGCAACTATAGAGGATTTTCCTTGTGTAAAGTGTATAAGTAATTTGATTCGGAAATATCAGGAAAGTTGAAAAATATATATTTCTAGAACACAATTAAGCAGTTTAATTGTACCCACCCAAGTTCATTTCAGTTCTGTAAATCTCCAACAGATTGTGATTCAAATGAACAATAATGATTTTGTGAAATAACATTCAGTACAGAATCCCACAGTTCACACTAATTCCCCATTTAGATTTTCTAAGAGCAACAAATTCTGCATTCAAAGCATCTTATCTGTGGAACGGTAAAAGCTTTGAGAACATCATCATCAAGTGCTTTGAGTGTTATGTTTGCCATCTTTCCAAAGAACTTTATAACAAGCAGAATTTGTTTTTTGCCAAAGGGGATGTTTTTATCACGAGACAACCTTGACATAAAATGTCAAAACTTTGCTTTCAGTGAGGTGTTGAAGTTCTATTCAAATCAAAAGAAGTGTTATTAGCAAAACAGCTTTCTTTTGTTTTCACCTTTTTAGATTCACTCAACTTATTTAAAGAGCAATTATCTCCAAGTTAATAGAAAAAGTGTGTTTGTGAAATTTGGCAAACTTATAATTCCAAAATCCAAAACAAATATTTATATTTTATTTTGTAAAAAAAAAAAAAAAAATACATTAATAAAAATATTAATGATAATGCATAAGTTAAGGAAACATTACCTTATTCTTTCCCTCTGTGCGCAGTGGTGATAACCTACTAATGTAGCCATGTATGTATGTGTGTATTCATTTCACTGACAAATTAATACACACACACACAAACACATACACATAAATAAATAAATAAAGAATACAACATTAATTTGGTTTGGTTGGTTGGTTTCAGTTAAGGGGGACTGAAATTATTTTGCGAACAGCATAAAAGTTCAGTACAAAGATAAGTTCTGTGTAAATTGCAAAAGAAATATAAGTCACAGTTATTGTTATTTTTTTGTTGTGCATGTATGTGTGTTTCTGAAATTCATGTGTGTATAATTCACAATGTGTGAAAATGTATCTAAAGGTGAAACTTTTGACTGACCCTGTTGCAGCAAGTAAACGCAAGAATGTCCCTTCAAGTTACTAACGTTCACTTTAAAAGCACCAGAGGATAAAACTTTTCCATACACAAATACAAAAGTTACTCACCACAATGCCAAACTGTTCTGACTCCACCAGGTCGTCGTAATCTCCTTTCAGCTCTGCTAGTGCACTCAACTCTTTCTGCTCAGGCAGGTTCTTTATTAGGTTCTGTAAGAAAACACAACACATTTGGTTTATAGAGATTTCATATTTGTATAAATAATCATGAGTTATGTGACGGTGGGATGACAGTGTTGCCATTGTGTGCCAATTACTGGACAGGGCAGGGAACTACTCACAACATAATCCACATGGCCTTGCAATTGTTGATTTAAAAAAAAAAAAAATACAGATAAGAGTTGGAATAATTTGTGGCTTTTCTTTGCTAACGGTCACCAGAGGAAGCACAGAGACATGTGGAAGAGTTAGAGATTAGGACATAGATGAACCAGTATAATTGAAGGAGCATGTTTTCTGTAAATGTTAATTGTTTGCATGAAGGTCAGTGGAGTTAATAAAATTGACCGGACTAACTTCTCACCTCCTTTCCCCCCAGAGGAGACAGAAGAGAAAGTGATGCCCTTTCCCGCACAGTCACAAAGCCTTCTTGCTCATTAGGTTCCTAAATATATTCAGCATGAGCAAACTAAGGGTCACAGACGCACATGCTAACCCAGACAAGGAAAACAGAGCTAGCCACTGCTGCGTTTCTCTGCTGACCACTCTGCACAGCTCAGCATGGCCTCTGTCCACTAATGATGACATCTCAGTCCTTCTCTAGGGAATGGGGAATGTAAAGAGTGAGTCATAATGCTGCAATTCCTATTTGGGAGAAAGTCATTATATCAAATGTTGCTTTCTTTTCACTGAATCCCCAATTAGGCTCTGCAGAAAGCAATGGAGCTTTGATAATGAATACTTCTGATCATATCAGCATATGTGGGAAGAACTGGGTATTGTATAAATAGAAGAAAAACATATTAGTGTAATTGGTATTGTTACAGATTATTTTGGATTTAAATTGCTGCATATTTTCCCTTATAGTTGTGGGCCGATTTCTACATTTACTTCTCAGCACAATGTTGCCCAGGCTAATTATTTACTCACACACTTTGACCAATAAATATGTAAAAATATACATAAATGGTATAAATGAGCCAGACGCCAATGTATTCATAAACCTGGTATTGCAGCAAGTTTTTTGGAGGAGAGAGATGCAACCTTGCAGTGTTGGCAGAGTTTGAACTAAATTGTGTTTTACTGAAGCTGCATTGTAATGGTACAATAAAAGGAATGCAAGACACAGCAATTCCAATTCAATACATACATTAGTCAACAACAACATACCCACTTTATAAGCGCTAAATGTAATGTTGGATTGTAACATAAATAACAAAGAACAGTACAAACTCATTGTAGATTCCCAATAACTATTTCTAGTGTTATCACTTTTTTCTTGAAGTGGTTAATCAACAAAGATCACAGCAAGAGCGAGACATGTAACAGTGCTCCAAGTAACAATTAACCCTGAGTGAAGAAAGAGACCCGCTGATCTGCCTCTGGCCCAAGATGTCTGCTATCATCAAAGACAGAACATGTTAATCCAATATTATTGATACAATGCACTGTTGGTGTTATTGTGAATCCTGCCAATGTAAAGTTAATGACCTTTTATTTAACATCTTTACGTCTCAAGATCCCATGTCTGTTATGGGGAATTCTTTACCATGAAGCAATTACAGCAGGAGTTTTACATGTAGGAAGTATCAACGATTGCAGTCAGCAAGTCTTGATTTGCCAGAATGGACATGAAGAGATAAGAGTTTTGCCAAATCGAATGAAGCTGCAATGTGCATAATTATGCATCTTGAGCTCTTGCTTTTAGTTGGTTATGTGTTAAGATTTTAGAATCAGAATGATCTAAAATGACTTACCATACTTCACGTTGATAGTCGCTGCAGTGTTTATAAAGTGTAACACTCAGAGACTGTAATTGGAAAATAGTTGTCTTGTTTGAATTACCCATTACTTTTGCTCATGTTCAAATGAGCGCTTCTATGTAGGGCTATTTAACACATCCAGAGTGACTGCTAAAGGGAAACAGTGAACAATATTAGTAATGTGAACACAGAGGGATAAACAGAAAGCATTATGGGGGTGCCAAAATAACCATTTCAACTAAAAACAAGCTGATACAAACAAGGAAGCCAGGGGAAATTATTTGATTAACCAATGGTGAACCTAGAAGCCAAAAAAACCAAACTTCTATATACAGTGTAGCTATTAGGTATTCTCAGAATACTGTTGCATGAAAGTTAAACAGAATTTTGTTTTTGCTGAGGATTTACATTTAGATTGTGTCCCTTATAAGTGTTATTTTTTATATCAACTAGAGGCTATTTTGTTTAATTTGGGACAAAAAGGCTCAAAGAACATTGATAAATTGCGTTTGGTTTGGTCATATCATGTTCAGGAGTATTCGTTCTGACAATAGAAACATAAACTAGGGAAGAATTTCAAGCCTTCTTGAGTTGAGCAGAGAATTCCCCGTAACGAGCTGCCTGCTTATCATTAATTCAACCATTGTCTCATCAACTGTGAATCTAATCTAAATCATTTCTGGATGTCACTTTGGAGAATAGGCTTACGCATTTGAGCAGGGAGATGAGAACAGGGAATAATGCAGGGTGGAGAATGAAATCCACCTTGCAGTTGTCACTTGATTTGTCTGTCATCTTGTTAATTATAAGAAACCCCATGACGCTCTAGTGATGCTGTGGTGGAGGCATATGTGCGCCAGTGTGGGAGACTGGGTTATGATGCTGGGCCAGACAGCACAGCAGGTCTCTAGACACAAACAGTAGCCTGTGCGGAGAGGGGCAGACAATGGGGACACTGCACATACAAGCCGACTGTATTTGGGAAAATATAGCATGAATATTCATGCAGCGGTAAAGCATAAAGGCTTTGACTGTGATAATTTGAATCACGATGCTGCTATTTACATTTTAATAGATGATACATTAGTAAGATTAGGTATCTTACTTACATTTATTAAAATGTGGGCAAAAAGTGCCACAGAAATATATGAAACAATTTTTAGAATGGTATTTTTTCCCAGGATTGGCCAACAACTATTCAAAGAACATTTGAGAAATTTTAACAATAGTAGGTTTGCCAATGTGTGTGTGTGTGTGTGTGTGCACTAACAATTAGCAGACTAGAAGGCTAATCACTCATATATAAAGCCAAAATATTGGACGTATCTAATCATATAATATAAAAAAAAAAAAAAAATAGCTATATAAAGATTTGAGAACAAAACTAATCAGACAGGGATCTGTTTAGGCACTTAAAAGTAGGACTGTGTTACAGCAGTGCTGTTGTGGACTAATTTGTGTTATCAGTTGGACTAGACTAGAACAATAAATATTTAAAACAACAAAAAGCAGTAGCAGTATTGTATGTCTGTTTCTGACATCCACGTTAGTTACTAAGACAACCACTCCCTCTCTGCCTTGTTGTTTATGGACATGCAGCCTCATTTTATTGTTTTGTTTTTCCATCTCAAACATCCATCTGCATACAAAACAACCGTGTTGAACTGTGGGAGAATATCGGTCAAATAAATGCAAACACTTTATCCGTGTGAAAGGCCGGTGCTTAAGGAAGGAGAGCAGGCGCGCATGGTGAGGGGTAAAGGCAAGTGTAAAGTAATGAGATACAGGTTATGGTTCACTAAACATTTGTACTAGATGACAGTATCTGCGGGGCTTTCACTTCGCTGCTTTGATCTTTGCTGCAGTCTATGGGCTCCCGGCAAACACAGTTTGGGAGCACCAGAGAAGCTTGGCTAAGTTAATACAGTTCAAAGATGTGGTATTAGGCACACATTGGGTGAATGCATGGCCGGGTTTAAACATAGGATGTATGACGAAAAAGGAAAGAGGAAATAAGCTTCAAAAGATTATTGACATGGAGATTACAAAGTGTATGAATAGTAGATATACCTGAAACGTATGTTATAAACTAAAGCAGATAAGACCAATATCAGGCTTTACAGAAGGATTGATGCAATGTACAATTCAGCACTTCCAGATACATTTTTGGTGTATTAAAACTTAGCATCTGATTTCAGAATTAATAATGATATCAATGCTTAACAATTCCTTTTACCAAATGCAGTTATGGTCCTTACATTTCAATGTTGCACACACATTTGACCATCATTACACAAATATTATAATATAGCAAATGTACTCTGCTATACAATTGGATTGTGAAACAACTAAACTTTGAGATCCCTATGCAAATGTTAAACTTAATTTGTTATATCTTGTTTTGTGAGGCCTAAAACGAGATATCAGCATTGCCCGGACACATGCTGCTGCTGGACCGACAATGTTCTACATATCACTTTCAACACATTTGGAGCTATCTATTATTCTGTCTGGATTGTGTCAAAGCCGCTGTGGTAACATCTATCATTTCGCACTATAAGACTCCTACCTGAGAATTGTACTAAGAGCACTGAGCAGCATATTCCCAATAGTAATGTCAAAATGAAGAAGAAATCCAAGTTGGAGATGTGCCAATCGATAATGCTTTTGAGTCTAAAAAGTGGCATGAATAATAAAAGCATCTATGAGTAAGCCGTCTTCAGTTGATAAAACCTATGGGAGGTCTACCATCAAAGACATCAGTGTCACAGCTGCTATGTGCTACTTGACAGATATGATTTCCTTGCCTTAATTGATTTTCCTGGTGGATTTGGAGAGTAAAAACAGGAGGGGTGCTTTGCAGATGCTTTTGTGGGGAGAATCATAGGAGTTCCATCTCTCGGCCATGAAATAGCAACATACTCCCAACCTGTCTCCTAGAAAATCAGTGAAGACTTTTTGATAGTTCTTGGGTAGTTAAGAGAGTTACTTTCCAAAACTGAAAACATAGGGATAATATTATCTGTCTGGTAGAGTTGCTAAACAAATTGCATCAGACACTGATCTTTGTGGTATTACACAATATACACTTTGCAGACGCACACAAACATCTCAAATTTCGACTCTCTGACTGTGTCAGAATGACAAGCAACAAACCGAGTGTGACAGATTCTAAAATCGCATTAAACAAAATAAGAAACAGGGCTGCAGAGTGAGTGAAAGGCAGAGGAGGGAGGGATTAATCTCAAGTTTGGGGTTGGCCAACCTGACAGACTAAGTGTGACATTAAATGTGTCTGTGAGCAGGAAATACAGCAGCTTCAAAAATAAATAAGAAAAAATATGCAACACCTGAGCACTTTTATCTTAAGCAAAAGTAAAAAAAAAAATACAGACAACAACAGGAGGATATGTTTGAAGTAAATGGAAACTATTGCAATAAGGTTTTTTCCACCTATTTATTCCAACTTAATTTCCATTTTCTGGTCTTTCAGCCTGCTTCAACCAGCCTTGCATAAGTTATAAAGGTTGCACATTTGAAGTCGGTAAACATTTTCTTGGCATCACTCTGCATCTCTTTCCCCCTCATGCAGGAACATATATTGAACAGAGCAGAAAGGCCCTAACTCACACACATGGATCGGGGACGGGGAGTGATAGTAACACATGTGCATGTATGTGTGTCCGTACAAACATGTTTTCTGAATGTTAAGCTGTCAAATGAAGCTGAAGTGTAATTAATTGTGAAGCATCTTTTGAGTCAATTTCTCAATAGCTCTATAAACAAAGGTTATATAAAAAAAGCAGCCACAGTATTGACTTGCATTCAAGGTCCACTCTGTTTCATGTTGCTTAATAATTTGAGAATTCTGCAGTTTCAATACATAATTTGCCACTGACGTCGTATTTCCGGCTAAAATATGTTTAATTTGAACACATTGAAGAAGACGGATTGACAGATATGCCGGTATACAGTATATTGGGATGAATGTGTTTTTTTTTTTCAGCTATTGGTCAAAGCTTTCTTTCTTTCCTGCCAAATCACATATTTTGTTTAACTCTAAACAATAATCCCAACTTGTAATTGGTAATAATTATAAGCAGCACTGTTTCAATCCCAGCGTAACTGTTGAGAAAAAATAAACTACCAAACAAGAATGGCCAAATTGCTCATGTTCAATAATAATTTGTTCTAAAAATCTCTATTCAAAAGATGAGCTATACTCCAAAAAAAATATTTGCATGAATATACAAAAATAAATTAAAATGTCCTAATTGCTAATAAGCACATTAGCATGACCCTGACCCCATGTGCCTTAAAAAATCTTTGAAAGTGGCCATTTAAAACTGGCCATAGATATCAGTCATCAGCCAGTTAAACTCCAATCGCTAATACTTATCAAAGCAGGCGGACCAAAAGGCATCAATCAAATTCATGAGGATGAAGAGTCCATTCCCTCTCTGTACAAAATAAATTCCAAAGGGGATGACCTTTTGCCTTGATCTTACTAAACGCTATCTCCCAATAGTAAATATGAGTCAGTCACAAAGTTCTTTGCTGCCATTTTAATACTCTGTATGATTATAATAGGGCTGCCAAGCACATAGAAAATAAGAATCCAAAAGCAATAGATGAATTTTTTTGTGCCGAATTCTGTCTGATAGTGCCTTGCTGATGTTGTGCCATCTGTCACACAAAACAAAGACACACAATTGGAGAAAGAAAAAAACAGATTTTTTTTCACTTACTAGCTTAAGCAACACAGCAACCAGGGTGCCGGAGGAGAAGCCATACCAAAGACTACACCTAATCAAAATGTAACTGTTATTCTCCCTGCACGTATGTAGAGCCTGGAGACTTTTAATCAATATGCCACCTTAGGACGTACCTGGACGGGCCCCTTTGGCAGAAATGCAACAGTGTGATGATCATCACTGAAAAGTGCATGTTCTACCTAGGGTACTTACCATCCATTTCTGAAGTCTATTTGATATTGCACCATGCCAAGCCATTCTCAGTCTCTGCAGCCTTTTTGCCCTAGCTTCAAAACTTTTCCTTTTTCCGTCTCCCAGCCACTAAATCAGCATAATACATTTTACATTCCATTGTTGAATTACCATTTGATGCAGCAGAGAGTTATGTGCTGCCAAAATAAACCACAATTAAGCCCAAAGGGAATCCCCGTTTCTCGCTTAAGCTCTAATCCAACAGGCCAATACTTATCGCCTTGCCCCATATGTGCACTTTAGCGGCATGCAAATGATGCCCAAAACTGTGCCAGCCGGCTGCAATCACCTGTTGTTACATCGCAGAACAAAGGCTGGCCTGGCCGCTGGTAGGAACCCCCTCCAGCCAATGGGCTATAGCCGGTGTAATGATGGCCACATGCATATGGATGAGCCCTGTGGTGATTGACAAGAGAGATAAACAATAATAACAAGCTAGGTTCCTTGGGAAAAGTCCTATGAGACCTGGCGGAAAGGTTGTTGCCATGGCGAGGTGATCTCTGAAACTGAGAGGATCCTGTCAGGCTGTGGCATGATCCTATGTGGCCATTGTGAACTACAATTACAATTATTTAAATGTCACTGTGTACATTGCTCACAAGGGTGTTGAACAAAGGTGATGAGCACATATTCGAGTGTATATAAATAACTATGTTATTGTAATAATTTAAATAAGGTGTTTTCTAATTATTTTGGTAACATAGGCCACAATACTGTGAAGTGATTAAGAACAAAGTATAGTTGAAAAGTTACTGTATGTAAACCAGATGACAGCAATTGATAATCTACTATCCATTTAACAGTTCCTGTCGTAAAATTTTGTTTTCAGATTTTGTCCCTACTAACCTTGACACCAATTTCACAATGCACTCAAGTAACTTAGGCAAGGGAACTCAAGTGCATATTAATCCACTAGTATCAATGTACTTCTTATTTAAAATCCAGTATGTCAAGCATTCTCCTTAAAACATGCTGCGTCTATTTGCTTATGAAACATTTCTGAAATCCTTGCAATGTATTAGCACACAATATAGGGCAATAGTAATTACAAATGAATAGCAGCAGTGTGGTGCAAGTCATTAGCCTTTCTGTTTGAAAGGAAGATGGGGTAATATAAAATACATTGGCAGATATTAAACATTAAGAAACCACTCTGATATTCTGAAAAACAAGCCCCCGGGGCCACATCACGGGCTTACCACACACCAAAAAGTGGGCGTGCAAAAAATGTAAGTGATGACTAACTGATTTCAGGCAATGGGTAACATGGCTCTCCTGAGTTGGAGAGAAAATTATCTAAAACAAGAACAATATAACAACAAATGCAGTCTTTGAAAAGACAGACTAAAGGCAGGACTGCATAGCATCTAAGAATGTTAAACTAACTCAATGCACAAACTATTATCTGTCTTCAGTGTAAAGAACAACTTGAAGAAATTTGAGAAAATACTGAATGGAAAATGTTACAATAAAGACATCTCAAAACAGATTTTGTAATTATTCACATTGAAAGACATTGCATTTTAGTAAATATTTTTTTTGGAAAAACCATGTCAATACATGTAAAACACTGTATTTGTTTTATACCTTAAGTCTAAAAACATAAATATATACCAGTCTACAAAAAATATGAATCAAAATAAGTTTTTGGATATCTTTGGCCATTGAATTTGGGTGCAAAGTGGTTCAAAATGGTAATGCTCAATTCACCATATAGATAGCATTCTTGGGCTTATGCAATAGTAATACTACTAGGGAAGCACCAATGCATCGGCTGAACATCACTATCAGCCAATGTTTACCTTGCTAACTACCTCCGGGCATTGACAAATAAAAAATGACATTCGCCGATGCAAGGCGCGTGCAAAGAGGGCGTTCACAAATTTTCCTTAGTAATAGAAACAAAGAAGATGGCGGCAGTCGTGTGGCAATATTTTGCGGTATCAGAGAAATATCAGCGTCATGCTATTTTCAATATGTCTTCCAGAGAGATTTAAGAGAGGGGACTGCTAGAAAATTATTTACTACAACAAAATCTCATTGGACATTTGAGAGGCAAGTATGAGGCGGTGTACAGTGATTGCTTGCAAGCTGAAGAAAAATGGAAAACGACAAAAAAAACCAACATACATATAATTAACAAAACGTCGGCCAAGTTGTTATGTTAAACATTGGTATCGGCCCAAAATTTCACAATCGGTGCATCCTTAATTAATACAAATCTAAAATAGTACAGTGACTAAATACTGTGGCCTCGTCGATGTCTTCTTGCCTGAATCGATGGGGCCAAATGCCATCATTATTCTAGTTAAGGCTTGTCCCTGTGGCAAAAACCAAATTGTTCTCGGGGAGCTAGCTTAAGTGTGCAACAACAAGGTCAACAGCACTCTGAAATTCCAAAACAGCACTGGAGGGGTCTCGGAATACTTTAGTGCCAAACCCAAGCATTACAACAAGGTGCCCGCTACTATTCTGGACACACGTCTGACTCAGTGCCATGAAAACAAGGTTTTGTAACTCTTCTCTTTACACCAGGCCAAAAGTAGAAACAAATGGGTCTGTCACGCTTTTTAAATGCAAGTCTTGTCACAGTTTAAAATTGTTCATGACTGGTTCATGTTTTTGGCATTATATATAAAGAATAGCATTATCCATGAATAAAACACAACTAGACAAATTAATACAAATGTGATTTGGAAAAACACATTAGACACATGTGGCACTTTGATCCATGATGTTATGGAGGATTATGAAAACATCCAACATAAATTTGCATTTACACGACACATGCATAAGCAATAGGTACAAGAAAGGAAATTGCTTGGATTGGTATGGGGAGGTGGATGAATAGACAAGGCCATGTCTGTCTGCCAGCATTC